ATTGGGATCTTTCTGGATATCTTTTTTCGATTTTTCACCTAGCCCGAATTTTTTGACCCTAGAACTCCCAAAAACGCCTTACTAATGAAACCTCCTTCTAATTTTAATATATTTTTCAGTTTCAGTCATATATTCTTCAGTGGTTGTGATATCTACTTTAATTTCAGTATCATAAATCATGTAAAGTTATATTTTATATAATCATTTTGAAGGATTAAATGAATATAACTAATCATAATGCTACATATCATCATTATATTTTTTTTGTTAAATTTAAGATAATGATGATAATGCAGCACTAGGATCAAATATTTTATTAAATAATATTTTAGCTAAAAGAAGAAAATAAGAAAAAAATTTAGTAAAATATATTAAATAAATTTGAAATATATTAAATTAGATAAAGAAAATAATAAACCTCAAATGATTGCTAAAAATAGTCATATATAGTAATAACAGATCTTAGACAATTTTCTTTATCCATTTTGCTGATTCTGATAAATAGTATTAGTAATTATTAAGCATTCAGAGTAAAGGTCATCTTTCATATTTTGCAATTCATTAGTTATTTTTCTTGAACAAATTCTTTGTGATCTTTATTCGTTAAGCTATTTCTAATAAATAATAAATAATATTAAATTATTGATTCAAATAGACACAAATTCAAAATATATTTTATTTACTTATATTATATACTTAATTGTTATTAAAAATTTATCATAACTTTAAAAGGCCCTTTCTGTTTTTCTTTATTCTTCAAGCTGACCAATATGATTTATGAAAGAATTTTAGCCAGTTATAAGTTAACAGAAGGCTGATAATTCAGAGTCAAGGATTTTCATAATTCTAAAATCAGACTATAATATATTACAGCATTTTTCTCATTATTGAAAGGTTCATCGTAATCTAAATCATCCTTTGAATTATAGATTTTAAAATTGTTTTCATTTTAGCTTAAATACAAAAAGCAAAAAAAATCAGCTAAAAATTTAAATTATTTAGATATAAATTCAAATATATCCTAGTTTCTTTTATGTTAACCTCTTCTATTGCTGAATTATCATCATCTTTAGAATTATTTTGCAATGATTCTAATTTATAATTATTATAACAAATTGGTTTTTTCCTATTGATTTCAATAAAGATTTTCTAATTTCTCTTTATTTTGTAAGAGAACTAGTATCAGACTGTTTCAATAATTTGGATAGCTGTAATCTCTCAAATTAGTCAAGTCTTAAATGTTAAAAAATATAATTATTATAAATATAGAATATTAGTTTACAAATTTTTAATTTTGTATAAATCTATATTTTTCTTATTGAATTTTTTGTTGATTTTGATAAGAAATCAGTTTTCTCTTAAGAGATTAGAATTTTATCATTTCAATTTCTCGATTTTTTTGAAATTTATTTAATATATTATTATTATTTATTTAAATTAAAATCAATAATATATAATAATTGAAATTTTTATTATATATTTTATTAAATTTTATTATTAAACTTAAATCTTTACCTATGAAAATAATAGAATTGATATTATTAATATATAATTTTCTGAATATATTAATTTCAATCTAATGATATTAGTGATTTATACATAACATATATATGGGAAGTTTGCTAGGAAAATGGGATTCTGAGAAATTTTTTTGACTAAAATTAAGATCTTATTACAAAAAAAATTCCCTGCGCCTCATTTTCCTATCATTTATCATATTGTGTAACGATACACTCATTTAAGCCATATACGCATATACCTTAATTATTGTAACAATAGAATATCTTTGAATTTTTAACAGGTAGATTACAGAGATATATGAACGAAATATTGATAAAAGTTATGTTCTTACGATTTGATTTGTAAGGTACAGTTAAAAAATATATATATATATATTGTACTAATTTCATCATCAATTCACAAAATATACTAAAAATGAATAAGAACCATATAGAACATATAATTTAGTTCAAAATAAAATAAAATAAAAGAAATAAAAAAAAAAAATACATATATTAAGGAGAAAAGAGAGGGTAATAAAAATAGAACAGGATTAAAATTTCCTAAATTAATTATTTTTTTTTTTTTTGTCCTCGTTTTATTTTTTTTTAAACTTGTTTATTTGGATTACTAAAGTTGTTAAAAGGTCTAGTTTGAATTACTCTACAAAGTTGTACATAGACTGTGCTTTTTTGGCTTTCTCTTAGCCAAAAGTGCCGCCCGTGTGGCATGTTCGAATACTTCACGAACACCCTCACCTGTTTTTGCTGAACATTCCAAATATTTGTATGCGCCGATTTTCGTTGCAACGCCCATTCCCTTATTAATGTTATTAGTTTTAAATATAACGAGATTAGATAAAATTCCATGAAGACAATCCAAAAAACATATTTATCGATAAAAAATTACCTCTTCCGGTGTCACGGGTCTCTGAGACGTCTTACGTAACTCTTCGATTGTCTTGGAATCGAACCTCAAGTCTTTCTTACAACCAACTAAAATGATAGGTAATCCTTGGCAGAAATGCATTACCTCTGAGATCCACTATAAATTATAAAGATGATAAAATTTAAATCTCAAAATAGTTAAACTAACTTCTAACGTAATAGAATTTCCAATCAAAATCACTTAAATTCTCACAATACAATCTATAACAAAATATGTTTCTTAAAAAAGCAAATGGAGTCAAATTATTTATATCTTTATTTACCTTTTCTTGTACATTATCTAAAGAATCAGGAGAATCGACAGCAAAGCAAATCAAAATTACATGAGAGTCTGGATAAGAAAGTGGTCGAAGACGGTCATAATCTTCCTGACCTATTAAGAATATTTCGTATCAGTAAATATTATAAAAATTATAAATATATTAAAAGATTACGTGAATGGATGGAAGATATAAACCACCAATGTAATATTACCAGCTGTGTCCCATAATGCCAATTCAACGTGTTTTCCATCTACTTCTACGTCTGCAACGTAATTTTCAAATACGGTAGGAACGTAGACCTGTTGACATTTAAAATAAAAGTTAAAATTATGAAAAGATTCTCTTGGTCGGCTTCGGAAATATTAAATATAGTAAGTAATATAGAAGATTTAATTTTTCATTTAGTTTAATAATGATGACACCTAAAAGTACTCTTGCTGCTATACTACAAAAAACTTTAATTAAAGTAATCAACCATCGTCTTTTAGCTGTAATTAAAACAATATTGTTTTGAAGCTTTACATATTGATACCAGTGAAATTTATGATAATTACAGACAAATTGTGGAAATTTCTCAGAGTCACTACTAATTAACTTGTTAAAAAATTGCTTTATAAGAAAATTCCCTCCTCCTTTTGGATTATGTTAATTCCCGTCACTTCTCCAGATAGGTAAACTTTGTAAAACACATACTTCTGGAAAGGTACCCTTGGAAAAAACAATTAAAAGACAGGTCTTTCCACAAGCACCGTCACCAACGATTACAAGTTTTCGGCGAATCTCAGACATCCTAAAGATAATAAATAGCATTAAGTTCAAAAGCTTTAAATTTGTGAAGCATACCAAAAGTTAAACTTTTGCAAAAAATTTGAAGTCCTACAATGATAACGTATATAAATTTATAAAAATGAAACTGTTGAGAGAATGGGAATTAAGATGATGGTCATATAAAGAGAAATTGCCCTAATAATGCAACCAAGTTCAAAATAATACCAACAGTAATCAAAATTTGACGAATACTATGCCTACAAATCCTGTGCCAATACTAATGACAGACACGAGTGATGAATGAATAAGTTGAGCCACAAAAAGTTTAGAAGTTGAGTATGGCAAAATGACAAGATAGAAAGATATTAGATTATAGATTATTGAGATAATTTGTCATTATGCAGTATCACGTGGATTTACTTTAATGAGATGGGCAAATTTATCCTAGACTCCGGGTTTAGGTTATTATCCTAAACCCAATGTATAATAAATTTTTTTAAATTACTTATCACGTGATATGTACAGTTGCGGTCTAGGATAAGATCCTGAACCCGGGTATATTTTAAGACGCCTTAATGAAAAATATTGTTTTATTTTAAAATATTAAATAGAAATCTTTATTTGATGCACTACATGTATACATATTATGCCTACCAATGTTTTCACGTGATCATTGTGATCATTATGCATAATTTTAGAAAAAATAACATAACTATAATGCAAACGAAGTTTTTATTTGGTAATAAAATATAGATTGCAATAAATAATCTTTTTAAATCCTATTTAATTAACTAAGCATTTTATGTAATTACTATCAAATTAAGAATTTACTGATAACCGAAGGGAGCTGGGCTTGAATTATAATAGTAATTTGAGCCATTTTATTAAACTTGAATCTCATTAGCAAATTTTTATTTCATAACATTTAATATTATGTCCTGTTTTATAACAAAATGCATATGTAATGCTTCTAGATTTTGTTACAGCAACAGATAACTGCTGATTAACTTCAATACTATTAAGAATTTACATAATATCTGTGAATATCCTTTCTTATATTTTACAACAGAATTTTCTATTAAAACTGAAACATTTTTTTTTGTGTATTATCAACATTAAACTTAAGTTCATTTAAATAATTAAATTAAAGATGGTGCTGCAACTGGTTGCAATTGGTGACAAATAAGCATCACAGGGTTGCAACTAGTTGCAACCGATGACAAATAAGTATTACATGGTTGCAACTAGTTGCAGCGCTATCTTTAAATTAGATATTATTTGGTTTTTTTTTATATTTAAACTATCTGCTTCATTCATAATAATGATATTTGCTTTTCTAGATTCATTAACTAATGGCTTATAAGTTATACTATTAAAACTAAAAAATTAGCTTGATTTTTTTTCACAAAAATCTTTAAGTATTACAATTAGCTTCTTATCTAAATCCAATTCAATTGTTTTATTTTTATAAAATTAAATACCTTTGTAAAATCTTGTTGACTTTAACTATATTGATCTAACTTTTACTTCTGCTTTAAAAATTAAATAATTTTATTAATTTTAATAGGAATTTTTATATAAGAATGTATTGTAAAATTAATTTCATTAGTATTTATCAATCTAATAAAAACTCTACTACTCAAGTTATTACTATATATTATATTATTTACCAATGGTAATTAATTATGTTAATATAAAATTTTACTTTTGTTATTATACATATATATAAAAAATATCTGCAAATATAACTTAATATATTATATAGTTTATATATATATTTGTAATCGATATTTATTAAAAAAAAACAAATTGTAGTAGAGTTATATATTTCATATAACATATTTTTATAATATATATAAATCTCATTAAAAATTACATTTGCATAAGTTTGAGATAAATCAAAAACTTTTTCAATATAGGTCATTTTACATAAGAAATTATCATTAATTAGAATAAGTCTATTACTTTTAATTTGTTTAGCATAATAAAGAAAACTATAGTTTATTTATTTATAGATTTTCTCAGTTATTGTGAGAGTTATAAAATTGTGAAGCTTATTATCAATATCACAAAATATTGTATTATATATATTAGGCAGTAAAATTAATAGTATAGATTAAGGATTGGCAATCCTAATTCAATTAGCAATAACTAAGCTTCTATTATAGGATACACTGCAATAGCCACAGGTTTAAGTCTCAACTGAGGTATAAAACTAGATAATTTTCTTAAGAATTTCATATGTAACTGAATATGTCAAATATGTAAACGTTGTAGAGTTAAGAATTTACAGAATTGATATCATGTAACAATTTAAATAAATAAATATTTAATTAAATGAAAGATCATAATAGATAGATATTTAATCAAAGATTAAATCACAAAATATGGATAAACTATTAGCTAATAGATAAATTACTTATTGAAGAAAAAGAATAAATTACTTATAAAAGAAAAGAATAAAATACTTACTAAAGAAAAAGAATAAATATTTACTGAATGTTAAATAATTTCTAAAAAAGAATAATAAAAGAAATCTTAAAGAAAAATATGATAATATAATTATATCATAAAGGTGACAAAATAACAGAATGTTTAAATTAGAAATAATAAAAATAACAGATTAATTAAAATAGAAATATTGAAAATAATAGAAAATAATAATAAAAAATAATAATAATTACTGAAAATTTAGAAAGGATTTACAGAAATTATAAAAAAAAAATTTAGAAAATTACAGAAATATTAGAAGGAAAAATAGAAATTTACAGAAATTATAGAATAGAAAATTAGAATTTATATAAAATTTTACCATGTAAAAGATCATCATCTTAATCCTCTAATACTTTAATAATAAAATAATAAATATTTATTCTTTTAATAATAAATGAACACTTGTATTTGATAGTGAATACAAAAGTATATTAAATGAATACTTGAATAAAATCATCTAACAAAAATTATGTTAAAATATATGTTTAACTAATACTCTATTATAAAAAATTAGTATCTTTATAATAATAAAATAATTGAACAAAAGGTTTAATAATAATAAATAAACAGAAAATAAAGAAAGAAGAATATAATTAAAGATAATAAGAAGCTAAATTGGAATTGATAGATAAAATATAAGAAGAATAATTAAAAACTAAAAGTATTAATAAATATAATTGAAAAAGAATGCAACTAAAACAGAAAATTAAAAATTTTAAAAAAATTATAATGATAAAGAAAAAACTCTAAAAATTAAATGAATAATAAAAAAAATATGAAAATAATGATACTGAAATAATGAAAATGAAAAGAAATAAAGTTAATAAATAATGAAATAAAAATTTAGATGATTTGGAATAATTTAAACAATCAAAATTAAAATTTTTGAATAAATAAATAATTAATTTGTAAAACAAATTTTCTTAAAAATAAGTGGTAAAAATAGTTTAGAAAGGTATCGCATTTGTTGAAGCTATTGAACTCATAAAATGTCATACATTTGTAAAATACAGATTTTGGCAATTACAGTATATATATTAATATGTATTTATAATCTGTCGATTGATATTAATCATGCCTAAATATTGGATTTAAAGAATATGTGAATACAAATTAAGTCAGAGATCAACAAAAACTTAGCTTTTGCTAATAGATTTATAATAGATACTATTTTATGTCTTCAAATTCAGAGTTCTTACATAAGTAAAGAAGTAGTTAATCAATAATTAGTAGATTGAATATTATCTTCAAATGATTATGATAATAATAGACTATATTACACTGCTATAGCATTATCTAATTATGCTATTATTAAAGGTAGAAACTGGATTTAATTCCTAGATAAATTTAACATTATAGGTACAAAACTACTATTTATATAAATAATTTGATATTATAGTCTCAAAAGTTATATTAATAGGGTAAAACTCTATAAATTAGATTGGTAAAAATAGGTGTGACAAGCTTTATAATTGAAGTAAATTCTCTATCTAAAGGTAATAGTACTATGTAATCTAATAAGCTTGTGGTGACAGGTTAAGCTGTTTCAGGTGATCTATACTAGATAATAATTATTTGTAAATATGCTTCTAATACAGGATTGCCGTACCTCTTAAATAAGGATCAGAAACCTATAAAGACTTCTTTGAGAATAAATTTACTTATTAAATAAGTAATCTTACTAACTAATCCTTCTGCTATTATAAATTAATAAAAAAAATTAATAGTATAGATTTCTTTTATGTTATAAATTTCTTATTATTTTATCATTTCTTAAAAATTAACTAATAGTGATATAAAGATTAGA